TTCTTTTGAAGTGGTTGCTCTTTTGGAACTTCTTCATTTGAAGAATTCTTCTTACGGTTTTGGTAATGAGAGCAACTTCTTCTTCTTCTTCATCATGAGGAACTTTATCAATTGTAACTTCTTTGGTAGTAGCTTGTAGAGTTATATCCTTCTTTTGAGTTTCTTCATCTCTATCATTCATTTCTAGCTCGTAAGCCATTAATGAACCAATAAGTTCGTCAATGGGAAGTGTGTTAAGATCTTTGGCTTCTTGGATGACGGTCTTCTTAGCTTCCCAATTCTTTGGCAAAGATCTAAGAATTTTTCTTACATTGTCGGATGATGTATATTTTCTTCCAAGAGCTTTCAAGGGATTAACAATGTTAGTAAAACGAGAGTACATTTCACTAATAGTTTCTTTGTTGTTCATGGTAAAAAGTTCATATTTATGGATAAGCATATTCATTTTGGATTCTTTAACATGACTAGTGCCTATATAGGTAACTTCAAGTTTATCCCAAATTTCTTTGGCCGTTTCACAATCCGAAATTCTATTGAATTCGTCTTTGCTTAAGGCACAATAGAGATTAGTGATAGCCTTGACATTACATTGTACAAGCCTACGGTCATTGAGGGTCCATTCAATATCGGGTGTTCGAACATTTTCACCTTCTACTATCTTGGTTGGAACATGGTCTCCTTTTTCTATGGCTTTCCAAACATCTACATCTATGCCTCTTAAGAATGCTCTCATTTTGATTTTCCAATAGTTGTAGTCACTTCCATCAAACCAAGGGGGTCTATTGTTAGATTGACCTTCTTGATGGAAAAGTGCATTGGCCATGATCGTTCTCTAAGATGATTAGTCTTTTTCTAGAGATTAGGCTCTGATACCAATTGTTAGTCACTAATTGACTCTAGAGGGGGGGTGAATAGAGTCAAGGAGCAATTTTTTCAATTTTAAAATTATATTTCTACCAAACTGTTGAATATCAGTTTATTGAAATATTCAAGCAAAATAAAGCACAAAAATAAGAGAGATAGAGATAAGAGATTGCAAACAATGACTCGGTGATTTAGCGAGGTTCGGAAACTCCTACTCCTCGGCTCAAGATCCCCCTTGAGACTTCCCAAATTCACTAGAGCTTCTCCTTAATGGTGGAGAGCAAACCTTCACTTTTGAAACAAGATCTTGCTTCTCTTCTTTGCTAGGCGAACACCCTTCTCCTAGGCTTTCTTTTGGGTTACGCCAACCCTTTACAATAGCTTTGAAATTTGAAGAAACAAGTATACAAGAATCTCTCAAAGATAGATTACAGAGTTTAGCTCACAACTATAGAAAAGATGAATATACGTGAAGCTCAGAATTACTACAGTGATATGAAATAACAGAGAGGGAATGAAAGCTCAGAAAACTTCTTTAATGCTTTTCAAGGAATGATAGAATGTTCTCTGTTAAAAAAGATCGTTTAGTTTGAAGATCAACCTCAGTATTTATAGAATAAACAGAGTTCAATATAGCTGTTAGAGGTTGTTGAGAACATTTAATGAAAATGTTTACGTTACAGTTCAAAACCCTAAAGAGAGCCGTCTCTTGAAAACCAAAGAGCCTGCTCTTTGTTCATTTTCCTTGGAAAGAGCCTGCTCAATAAAAAACGTGAGCCTGCTCTTTATTTTGAAGATCCATTTTCGTAGCTTTCTTGGAACAAAAAGAGCCCTCTCTTTCTTTTGATTGAGCCCTCTCTTTTTCTTAAATACTTCTCAAAGACTTACTAGAGTTAAAGAAAAGAATCTTCTCAGAGCTCACTGAATAAGAGAAAAGAGCCTTCTCTTTGTTTTATGGAGCCTTCTCCATCTCACATTATGATACTTAATATGAAATTCTTTAAGTCCTGTGAATGTGATCATGAGCTGATTTTATTTTCTTTGAGAAATAAAATGGGAATGCAATGCATGGATTGAATTTTGAGCTTCAAATATATTCAAATTAACTTTGACATTAAATCTTAAGCTCTCACCATCTAATCTACCCTTTTCTTCAATCTTTGACCATTATCGGTTAGCCTTTGATGGAGTACTTGAATAATCTTTGAATTCTTGCAACTTCAATGCTTTCTTGAATCCATTGCTTGAGTACTTGGAATGCTTCTGGCTCAATATTGAGGATTGAATTAATTGATCAACTATATAGCACTCAAGGAAAATATTAGTACATAAACATCATTAATGGTTTGTAATCATCAAAATATAAGATTGACCTCTAGATTAAATCCTTAGGCCAACACATATCATAATATATAAGGGTATTTTAGTGAATGTACACCCTAAACGGTGGGGGTTTACTCTATCCCATAGGGCAGAGCTAGGATTTTAATTCAGAGTAGTGTAAAAAAAATATATATAAAATTTAAATAAGAATAACAAATATATATATATATATATATATATATATACACACACACACACACACATCATTCTTAAGTGCAAAAAGAAGAATGTTAAGAAATAGGAGGTCAAAAAAATTAATAAGAAGAAGAAGAAAAAAAGGAAAGACAAAATGAGAAATTTGAAAGGAAAAAAAAGAAAAAAAAAAAAAAATTAGAGTTTGAGTAGAGAAGGAAAATTTAACTTTTTTTTTAAGGAAAACAAAGGAATATTAAAAGCAAAAGAAAAAGAAAAGAAAAATTTAGAGGACAATTTAAAAAATTTAGACGACAATTTTAAAAATTTAAAATTTACGGGGGGCATTATATAAAATTTTTCTTATAAATGTACAAATTAAAATAAAAATTACTATATTTTATAGTGGACGGGGCCAGGCCAGGAGGGGAATGTGCCCCCTTTAGGCACACAGGCTCCGCGGCTCCGCGGCTCCGCCCTTGCCTATCCCAACCCCTTTTCAAAAATTATCCCATCCCAATCTCTGTTTCCATAAAAGGGTCCCCAAATTTGCCCTAAATGGAACGAAATGGGGCGGGAACTCAGTGGGAAGATTTGATGAATAAGGGCAAAAGCTCAGCTAGAGGTTGATTTTTCTAATCAAAATTAGATGCTTTTTGCATGTCTACATATTTTCACACATTTCAAAACATTACATAATATAAGTTAGCTACCCCAAGTTGTAGGTGTTTGTTTTCTCAACCTTCTCTCAGGTACTACAGAGTCCTCCTCCCAATTTCTTCAGGCAACAGTACTGAGACATGATGGATCAAGATGACTCCAAAACTCTTCTTGAATCTCCTCTGATTCCTGAAAAGGGTTATGGCCTTGGTGGTGAAATAACCAACAAATGTAGTGATATTCCAGATACTATTACAGAGCTCAAAATGCAACTGAAGTTGGCAGGTCCTTTGGTTGTGGTCAGTTTTTTGCAGTACAGTTTACAGATGATATCGGTTATGTTCGTTGGCCATCTCGGAGAACTTTCTCTTTCGAGTGCTTCTATGGCTACTTCATTTGCAGGAGTCACAGGTTTCAGCTTCATGGTAAGGCTTCTTCTTGTATGGTTTCTCTCATTTGTTACACACACACACACACACACACACACACACACATATATATATATGCCTATTTTTTTCTTAATAAACATACATATATACACTAGCAAATCAATCCCATTATAGGCAGACCAATTCTAACAAGAATCCATATCCCCTTCTTTCAATCTTTTATTAATCGGGCATTACCTGTGACTTAGTTGGTAGAGCGCTTAGCTCCCCAAACAATCGTACACGTGTTCGAGTAAGGGCGGATCCAGAAATATATTCTAGGGTGGGTTAGTACTACTAATTTTTCGGCTGGGCTAAAATTATCTATAGCCAAAAAAAAAAAAAAAAAAAAAAAAAAAAAATGAAGAAGAAAAATTCGGGGGCCCTTAAGCCCACCCGAGCCAACTACATCCGCTCTTGTGTTCGGGTCCCCTTCCCCTAGCTTGCCACGATTAAAAAAAGAAGAAAATTTAATTAATCAGTTTAACTCTTTCTTGATATGTGGAAAACATTAAAGGACTGCTAGTGTGCATGGGTCATTGTCATAGATTCTGTAATTCTTGTATGGTTTCTCTCATTTGTTATACATATATATATGCCTATTTTTTCTTAATAAACATACATATAGACACTAGCAAATCAATCCCATTATAGGCAGACCAATTCTTACAAGAATCCATATCCCCTTCTTTCAATCTTTAATTAATTGGGCATTACTAAGTTACTTAGTTGGTAGAGCGTATAGCTCCCCAAACAGGTGTCCACGTGTTCGAGTCCCCCTTTTCCCTTTCCCCTAGTTTGCCATGATTAAAAAAGAAAAGAAAAATTAATTAATCAGTTTAACTCTTTCATGATCTGGGGAAAACATTAAAGGTCTGCTAGTGTGCATGGGACATTGTCATATCTCTGTAATCTACTCAATTATTAAGTATGGCATATGCAGATATCACATTTGTCCCACATTCATTATAAATAATAACAAACTACCATGTACCACATTTAGGGGTTGTAGCAAACTCGGGACTCCTAAAAGAGTGTCTGTAATAATAACATATACATATACATATTTACATATACAACAACAACAACAGCATAAAAAAATATATATTAACCTTTTTTAGTTGTTAAGAGTAAATTGTGGTTAACAAGGTATTAGAGCCGACAAAGTCCGGAGTTCAAGCCCTCATCATCCACTCGATAAAATATAATTGATACGCATGTAGGAATGTAGGAATCTGGCTAGAGCAGATGATGGTAGTTGAAAAGCATACACTACATAAATGATCGACTGCAGTCCAAAAATGTGATTACAAACTTTGTTTCATGGATATCAGTTCATGAACTTCCTTCCTTATCACAGGAAATTATTCTCAACAAGTTTTCATTGTAAGATGACAAATGGATTTTCCAAATGCAATGATTAAGACATATATGTAGACATTATTCCTATCTAGCTAGACCATTAATTATGTAAAGTGTAGAAAGATCAAATCAGTCAAAATAATTCTCGAGAAATTTAGAAAACAAAAAGTTGTTTTCAGAAAACGGATTTTTTTTTTTTTAACTGAGTGTTTAGAAAACAATTATTAATCAGAAATTGTCAACCAGATTTTTGTATAGTTTTTATTTTTAGTCCACAAAAAATCGAAAACTAAACCAAACAGGCCCTAACATCTCAAATTTTCATTTTAACAAGTTGGGAATGGGAAGCGGATTGGAAACGTTCTGTGGACAAGCCTACGGAGCAAAGCAGTATCATATGCTTGGCATTCACATGCAGAGAGCTATGCTTGTGGTTGTGCTACTGGGGATTCCTATATCAGTCCTCTGGGCCTACTCAGGGTACATTTTCACTAGCTGTGGACAAGACTTGGCGATTTCAACACACGCGGGAATATATGCTCGTTGGTTGATCCCTAGCATTTTCCCTTATGGCATCCTCCAGTGTCAACTAAGGTTCTTGCAGGCTCAAAATAGTGTGAAGCCATTGATGATAAGCACTGCCTTTACGAGCTTAGTTCATGTCTTTGCGTGTTGGACTTTGGTTTTTCGAGTTGGATTTGGCAACAAAGGTGCTGCCCTGTCCAATGCCATCTCTTACTGGATCAATGTACTGATTTTGGCGATTTATATCAAGTTTTCGCCTTCATGTCAAAAGACTTGGACAGGATTTTCTAAGGAGGGTATGAAGAATCTTGTCGGCTTTCTTTCATTAGCTGTTCCTTCAGCTCTTATGGTCTGGTGAGTTTGTGAGTCTTCCTACACATCCAACATTATAATTTCTAATGTTTTTAACAAAATGAGCAATGATGCTAATGTGATCCTGTTATATGATTCAGCTTGGAAATGTGGTCATACGAATTTTTGGTTCTTATGTCTGGTCTTCTTCCCAATCCAAAGCTAGAGACATCAATGATGTCAATCAGGTTTGCATCTGTAGTATAGTCTCAATTCTAATTCTCACATACACGCACACTCTACTCATGCATATGGTTCTAAGTGCATCACTTTAACTCCTCCATTGACTTCAATTATCTTTCCCCAGCCTTAACACAAGTTCAGTGGTCTTCAGAATCCCATTTGGTTTTGGCAGTGCAGTAAGGTATGTTTGGTAAAACACCTCTACATGACTCCTACATATTTGCCATCCTGTGTTAATATGTTTTGACAATTTCACCTCTTGTATCTCGGATTCAAAGCACGAGAGTGTCAAATGAACTAGGTGCAGGGCAGCCACGTGCTGCACGACTTGCAGCCCGAGTTGTGATATTCCTTATTGTTGCAGAGGGCTTCTTAGTGAGCTTGGTTTCAGTGGCAGTGCGAGGCGTTTGGGGCTATCTGTACACCAATGAGGAGGAAGTTGTAAAATACTTGGCTTGCATAATGCCAGTGCTTGCCACTTCCAACTTCATGGATGGGATTCAGGCTGGGCTCTCAGGTTAGAGCTTCTATTATTCCTTGCAAAAACATAATACATTGGTTCTAATTGGTATAATTAAAGGTCTGTTTGGTCCAGATTTACGTTTTCTATAAAAAATGAAAAAAGAAAACCGTATAAAAATCAGTTTGGTTGTCAGTTTCTAAAAACTATTTTACGAAAACTGTCTGTTTTGAGATAGCTGTTTTTTTAGTTCTCTAAAAACTGTTATTAGAAAACAGAACCAAACGTGCTCTTAGTTTCTTAAACGCGGCTGCTTTGACATTTTTTTTGCCTTTAATTCATAGACCTCCCATAATTGATCCTAACATCGTGAGAAACTTCTTGAGTTGGAAAAGGCATAGCAAGAGGATGTGGTTGGCAGAAGATTGGTGCATTTGTGAATCTGGGAGCATATTACCTTGTGGGCCTTCCTTGTGCAATTATCTTAACTTTTGTTTACCACTTAGGAGGAAAGGTAAGAATTTAGCTCCATTTTTCTTTTGACATTTATTGTCTTTCTAGCATTTTTTTTTTTTTTTTCTTTTCTCGAAAAAAAAACTTCTACAATATTCTGAAAAGGACTTGAACCCTCTAGCACCGTGAAATGACATAATATCACTAGATTACAGGCTTTGTACCTTTCTGGTATTATCGATGCGTGCTTTATGCAGGGTCTTTGGATGGGAATCATTAGTGGGAGTGGTCTGCAAGCATTACTACTTTTAGCTATCACCATGCGCACAGATTGGGAGCAACAGGTAAAATTTGATCTTTCCCTTCAAATTTGCATCAACATAGTTTCATTTTAACTATTCTTTGCTTTACTTTTTTCAGGCAAGGATGGCGAGGGATAGAGTTTATTCTTCCAGCATCCCCACAGATATGGCATCACGATGAAAGCCATTTAAGGGAGTTTGGTGATGCAAAATGAGAAATTTTTACACTGTCTGGGACTATATGATCCTGGTCAATCACATACATCCATGTATGCAATTGTGTCAGATTTTTGTAATATTTTATTTACGTGACCGCATGTATTTGGCTGAGACCATATAATCCCGGATCTTGTAATTCCAAACCATGTAATAATAATTTATCATTACAAAACATCAAAATGTGCAATTTATTCCATAAAACTAGTGTTAAATTAAATTCTTTTAAGATCACTGCATGTTGCCAATAAAGTAGAAAGCATAAGCACCAATGGGAGCTCTCCCTTCTAAAAATTGTATTTTAAGTAGTTTGTATCCAATGTTGTGGTTCCAAATAAGGATTCTCTGACTTTCTTCTTAAAAGTAAAACCACACATTTTTAATCAGTGACCAGAATATTAATTTTGTCTTTCCATGTCCGAAATAGCAACAAATATTTTATTAGGGATGACAAATTTTCTCACGGATTTTCGACCTTAATGGAGCGGATTTGGTTGCCCCCTAAATGGATTTAGATCTGGTATGATAAAATAATTGAAAACCCGAAGCAGGTTTGGGACGGAGGTGGATTTAGTGATGAACCCGCCCGATTATATATGTACATTTATATATATATATATATATATATATAATATATATATATATAATATTTTTAAGACCCTTGTTGCTTTGCTGAAAGTGTCCATTAATATATATTAATATTCACTACTTAGTAATTTAAAAGTTGGGTAGCTTACTTTTGTAACGACCCAAACCGGGGGTCGGAATCGCTAACCGGGTCCTTATCCGAACCCGATGACATACTAGGGGTAAAATGGTCTTTTTATAATATAAATGTAACGACCCAAATCCACTGGATCTGGATCATTAAACAGGTCTTTACACAACCCAAAATCATCCAAGGGTATTATGGTCCTTTCACGTTAAATTTGCAAATTTAAGTCCAAAAAGGATAAGATGGTACTTTGCCTCAATTTAAATGGTTTGAAACTCAAATGGGCATAATAGTCATTTACTCGTATCACATAAAAAAATAAAATAAAGTCCGGGGCAATATAGTATTTTCTGTGATTAAAATATAATTATTGTATTTTACTGGCCTTATAATGTGTGACAATACACTTGAGTGAGTGGTCAAGGGCAAAATAGGGAAAATAAGTCACAAATATTTATTACACAGGAACCGGTCGATGTATAGGGAGTTAGATGTTAACTGGTTTGAATTGTGTACAGTGAAAAACTCACTGCCAAGATACAGGGCTACATGTGGGAAACTCACATCGACTGATTCAGGTCATCTGGTCGACATATGGGATTTCACATTGGCTGGTTGGATTATCCACACTTAAAATGCCACTGTCGGAAGGAAACTGAGATACACCAACTTTGATAACCAATCACCCAACATCACCTTACCCACGTACATATTTAAATACATTTCAACACCTAATATAATAACAACAACCACATTGTTAATGTAATTTATAAGACGTTACATAAAATACACTAAAGATTTAGTGTAAATAAACTTAATTACATTACTCCAATGGCCATATACAAAATGAATCTAAATACTTCACATGCTGCAAAATGATACATCTTGGGTCAACACTTTACAAAATGAGGCCTAAATACAAAAGATAGTAAAAGAGACATTCTTCTAATCCAAGTTAAGACTATGGTGGATTATCGTCCGCCATTTCTTTTCCCAAACTTGAAAATATTAAAATAATGGGGTGAGCTAAATGCTCAGTAGGAAGTGTCTAAGACACACTTCTTCTTATAACCCCGTAAATCCACGTGAGGAATAAGTAAAAGAAAACGGGATCATAGCATAGGGGTACATAGCAACAACTACAACAAGAAGTATATAACAATTGTCACCCAAACACATACACACCATATATTCTAATGAAGTGCAATGTCGTGCAATGTTTCTCCCCATATCCGAAACATTTCCGTTTCAACTTTTAAACCGTTAGTGTAATCCGACCCAAGTCACCTCCAAGGCGTCATGAAAGGAGGATTGGCTAACCATCCACAATCACAAGGCACCTCCAAAGCATCGCATCCGGCTTGGTTAGCTCAACCATACTCCCTTCTAGACTACACTAACGCCATGGACCACTAGGCGCCTCCTAGGCGTCCGGGTTTTCGCAAACACTTTTAGAAAACTTTTCCCAAAACAATTTCACTTGTTTTAAAGACATTTTTTCCCTTTTTCTATCCCAATAAATGCATGGAATGTTTCATACTTCAATTCATCAATTCCACCATAAAACTCTCACACATGCTATATAAAGCAAATTTCTAAATTACATAACTAAAGTTCTCAATTAACATTAACTTTGCATAACAAGCATATAAGACATGGATTCAACTTCATATAAGCATGTTCAAACACTATAAAACAACTAACAATTAGTTACATATATTCCATACCTATCATTTAAGCAATTTTTACAAAAATTTATACCAATTGAACATGCTAGACATCAATTCAAGTTATAAAACCACAAAAGTACAAAAAATCATGCATTAGAACACCCCGACCCCAATGGAGATAAAAATTCCCAATTCATACCTTAGAATTTTCAAAATTGCAAGCTTAGCCAAACAAGAAATTGTTTACATCAATGTGAAGGTCTCGCTGAGCTCTTTGAATTGCCGCAAACGGCTTCCAAAATTTCCAAGTAATGAAGGAAGAATTAAGATTTGAAGTTTGAAACCCCAAAGAAAAAAATAGAAAACTCTAGAAGAACGAGGAGGGGGAGAGAGTTACGGGAGAGAGAGAAAAATGAGAGGCCTAAATGGCCTTCCAAATAATAAAAGAGGTGGTGGTGGGTCCCACCACCAAAATAATTTATTTTCCCTTTATTTTTATTTTCTTTTTACACCACACACTTACATAAACACAATTAATTCACAATCACTTGAAACACAATAAGTAAAATACATATGATGCAAATGGACTTCATTAAAATCCCCGTGCACGACAATTCACGTAACAGGTCCTACACAGGACTGTCCGGTCCGAAAAATGAAAAAAATGTGAAAATGACCACCCTTACATTTCAAAAAATCTTGTACTCAATAAAATGCACAAAAAAACTCTCAAACACAACCAGCACGCTCTACAGTGTCCGGTACGAAAAAGGCAAAAGACGAAAATGCCCTTACTGCGACAAAATTTCTGAAAAGATGAAAAATGGCGAAAATTTAGAAACATCACAATTTATCAGTCCAATTTGAGAACATTTGGCTAGTTTTGTTTTACTAAATAATAAAAATGGCGTAAACCATCGCATCTCACAATTAATAATAATATATATGTTTTTTTTAATGAGAATATGGAAAGTGCCTCATTCTTCATAAAATTCTATAGGAAAATACTTCAGTCCTGTCCCATCAAAACAGATTGTGTCCTGCATACTAACGTGTCTCAATAAGAGGTTGACACCTCTTTTAAATTTAAAAAAATATAAAAATGGGTTATACCCATTTTTTATGGTTAAACCCAACGCATTTATTTTTTTTCCTCTCTTTGCTCTCATTTGTGTATCTTCATCTGCATCTTTCTTTTTCCTTAGTCGCCAATCATTCCAAACCTAATATTCCCTACCAGGACCTTCACCACTCTGCTTCAGATTGGATTTCGATTTTGATTTGGTCTTATCAAGGACGGATTCATTTTCTTAAAACAAGTATGTTAAAACATTATATTTGTGTAAGTTTTCTCTCTTTCAAATAGCTTAAATCGAGTAAGAGATTTTGTTCAAATTTTGAGTTTTTTTCACTTTAAAAAATAAGGACAATGGTTTCTGTTCTGATCCTTTTGCTCTCATTCTTATTTACAGAAAACGGTAGGAAATAAAAATAAGATAGAAACCGTAGAATTGAGTGAAAAAAAGGAATAACTTTCATATATAGCATGTATAAAAAACAATTGAGGTAGATTTTTAAAAAGGAGAAATAGAAATGGTTAGTTTAATTTTTTTTTAGGATAGTTTTCTATCTTAAGAAAATTAAAAATAAAAGAAAAAGGTAGGAAATACAATTTTTCACGAGTTAATTGAAAATAGCATTCAAAG